AAAGAAAATAAGAGGGAGAAGAAAAGGGCGATTATGCATATCCTCTTCTACTGCTCGCTAAAGCGGACGAAAATAAAGAAGAGGGTGTTAAGACATGTATATAAAACATGTCATAATTGGTTTTATCTATATCTGTTCGTTCGTTCTCTCTCTTTTCTTACATTTACTACTGTCATATACCGGCACATAGGGTGTGAGTATGAAATGAAAAGAATACCTATATACATATCCTGTTTATCAATGATAGATGACAAAAATTCATCAAAAAAATCTTAAACATTTCTAACAGTTATTGTTTACTGTTACCCGATCATAAAACTAATCACTATTGAAATCCGTTTAATATTTATTTTATTAGTACAATTATAACAAAAAAACAAGATTACAAGAGAGGAAAATAATCATAGAACTCTTTTGTGTGCACTATTACTTTGTCAAAATGTATTTGCTTTAATCGAGCACAATTACGACGCGTTGCATTTCTTGTGAAGTTTTTTGTTACGAATCTTAATTTATTATATTCGACATGTAATGTGGTTCGCTGCGGTAGATGTGTTTTACTCTGATTGAGAAATTGTTCAACATAATAAATATGAGAATATTCTAGACGTAATGAAATAAGATGTGGATATTCAACAATTGAATACAATTCATTATTGTTAGAGATCAAATTGTCTTTCATTTGTAACTGTGGTTCAAAATTAAAAACATGTAACTTTTTAAGCAAAGGAAAAAAGCGTGCAATTCGGATAAAAAATTCATGTTCGAACGGAGTTTCATCATGTACTGTTAATTCTCTAACACAACTGAAGTCTGTTGGTGGAAATGCATTACCAATATATCCGAGACAATTAAACGCGAATGGTAATGAAAATATATGACACATGACATCATCAGCTATGTAGTTTAATATACAGCATACTTGTTGATATCCTATGTTAGTAAAAGTTCGTTGAATATCTTCGTTTGATAGATAAGGAGTTATATAATGTAGTTTCACTTTAGTATTAATATGAAAAGTAAATTTTCGAAGACATGGCATATGTACAAGAATGTTATTATTAATTTGAGTACCATCGATTAATGTAGTTCGTTCTTCATTGGTAACGTTTAAAGTTAATTCTTGAAGTTTTATCATACGATGAAGAAGAGGCAAAACTCGAGTATCATATTGATTAGTCATGCATTGACATGTTAATGAGAAACATTTCATATTAGGTAGATCATCCTAAAATGAACAAACATATTATTATCGATTTGAGAGAAAAGTTTAAATGATTAAATGGCTTTTGAAACTTTTCACACACATAACACAATCGATTGTTGACTAGATAACTCAAACAATTTCAACGGAGAAGAATATCTAGTAATAATACATGAACCTACCATATTGTAAACACTTGATAATTCATTTGTATGATAAATGTCAACAATAAATGTATTTAGTTGTTTGAGACGACCATCGAGTAGTGCAAAACAGTCGTCAAAGCGGCAGACATCAACGCATAATTTGGTAAGATTTAATGACGACCACGTTGTAAAAGCTAAATCTTTAATCGATAAATATTGCCCACATTGAATGACACATAGATGTTTGAGATTTTTAAAAACATTCAGTGTATATTCATACACATTTATTTCGTTCAGACTGTTTGATAATATATGTCTAGCTGTTTTATATACAAGAATAAGATCGTTAATCTGTTCTTGAAAAAGATGTCGAAATGGTGATTCAACTAAATAAATAATAAGATATTATCTACTGTATATTATGTTTCTATTGAAATTTCTTACCTGTAAAATGACGTGAAACAATATGGTCGTTAACATTGTAGAGTTT